GACGTTCCTATAATCCATTCTCTTTTTTCTTTTTCAAAGATTTTCAAAGCATACACTATTGTATATAATGTCGATTTGGGAAGCACCATTATTATATGTAATAATTATTTATTTATTTATTTATTTATTTATTTATTTATTTATTTATTTATTTATTTATTTATTTATTTATTTATTTATTTATTTATATACTGGCAGTACCTGGCCACGCGTTGCTGTGGCTCAGCAACGCGTGTGCGTTGCTGAGCCACAGCAACCTTCCCTGTCCGCCAGTCCTCCCCACCAATCCCCCGTCACCCATTTCCTCGGCCTCCCAACCATTCCCCACTCCACCGTCCCTTCGTCCTCCCGACCATTCCCCACTCCACCATCCCCTCTTCCTTCCCACTATGCCCCACTCCCCTGTCCCTTTGTCCTCCCCACCATTCTCCATTCCCCCATCCACTTGTCCCCACCATCCCAAACTCCCTCGTCCTTACGTCCTTCCACACCGTTACCCCCTCCCTTGTCCCCCTCGTCCTCCCCACCATCTCTCACTTCCGTCCCCTCGTCCTCCCCACCATCTCTCACTTCCGTCCCCTCGTCCTCCCCACCATCTCTCACTTCCGTCCCCTCGTCCTCCCCACCATCTCTCACTTCCGTCCCCAAGTCCTCCCCACCATCTCTCACTTCCGTCCCCTCGTCATCCCCACCATTCCCCACTCCCTAGTCCGATGCCTTCCCAAATGGTCTGATGTTCCAATCACTGAAATATAAGAAAAACAGTTAAAATAAGAAATGAAAATAAAAAAAAATAAAAAATAAACTATACTCACGAAATGAACGGTCTGGTAAACAACACATCTCAATTCCAACGCAATTCACACAAAATAATTAAGTCAAAATGAAAATAAATCAAAATCTATGAAAATTCAATTGATCAATGCAATCAGAAACATTGAAATGGAATTGTAACATATCTAGTATAGCATGTGTGTTGCTTTTACATGCAACAGATGGCGCTGCTTTTTAAGAAAAGCATAGTTTTATCTGTCACAGGCGTGGCATCTATCCTTATACTTACGAAATGAATGGTATGGTAAACAACACAGTTCAATTCCAACACAATGTCACACAAAATAATTCACTAAAAAATAAAATAAATCGAAATCTATGAAAATAACATTTATAAATGGAATCAGAAACATTGAAATGGAATTCGTGACATATTTAGTATAGCGTGCATGTTGCTATCATGTACAACAGATGGCGCAGTTTTTCAAAAACGCGTGTATTTACTGTCACAAGGGTGGCATCTATATAGTAGGCATATTAAACGACGCGCCTATTCGAATGCAACGTTGTGTCAAAATTTCAAAGCAATCGCTGAATAACTTTCGGAGATTAAAGTGTGTGTTGCTCTTATGTCCAACAGATGGCGCTGTAAAAAAAAATGTTTTTTTCCTGTCACAGGTGAGGTATGTATATAGTAGAAATATAAAAAGACGCGTCTATTCAAATGCAACGTTGTGTCGAAATTTCAAAGTAATCGGTAAAGAGGTTTTGAAGATTTCCCTCGCATGAAAAACACAGTTTTTCAGAAAAAGCATGTTTTTTTTACCGTCACAGATGTGACATCTATTTATATGTATATAAAAACCTGCTCGGATGCGAATAGAACGTTGTGTGTAAATTTCAAAGCAATCGGTGAAGAACTTTCGGAGATTAACGATTTTGAACAAACGAAAATTTCCATTTTTATCTATATAGATATACATGAAGGTACATTGGGATTGTGAGGATACATAGCATAGTAATTACATTCTTGTAAAGCCACTAGTACGCGCAGCGTTTCGGTCAGGTCCTTAATCTAACAGAAAATTTTAAGTAGGTAAATATTAGCAAAATTTTTAAAATGATAACAAGTACATTGCAAGAAAAAAATGAGATGAGAGAGATTTGAATGTACATTAAAGCACATAGGTAGCTCAGATGGATTACATTGACAGTTTGAATGATAATTTAACAAAGAATAATAGGCACAATACAGCATATTGCTAGCACATATAGGAAGACAATAATGATCACAATGGTAAAGCTGATTGGATTAAGTACGTAAAGAGTGGGAGATTGGGTAACACAAGATACAGAGCAATTTTAAAGCACAGAGTAGGAAAATATTGAGATGAAATTAGGTACTTAATTATAAAAATTAAGTAGTAATATTAAACTTAATAAGTAATAATAAACTAATAGTGCTTATTATAATTAGAAATCCCATTCCAATCCTTTTGGCAATAGTGGACCCAATATACTTATCCTGTTGGTGGTAGTGGACCCCATGCCCATCCTGTGGGCAGTATGGACCCAATACCCATCCTGTGGGCGGTATTGGACCCCATCCCATCCTTTGGGTGGAAGTGGACCCCATACCAATCCTGCGGGGCGGTATTGGACCCAATACCCATCCTGTGAGTGGTAGTGGACCCCATGCCCATCCTGGGTTCGGTAATGGACCCCTCATACCCATCCTGTGGGCGGTATTGGACCCAATACCCATCCTGTGGGCGGTATTGGGCTCCATATCCATCCTGTGGGTGGTAGTGGACCCCATACCCATCCTATGGGTGGAAGTGACCCCATAGCCATCCTATGGATGGTAGTGACCCCATAGCCATCCTGTAGGCAGTAGGGCACCCCTTACCAATCCTGTGGGTAGTAGTGGACCCCATGCCCATCCAATGGATGGAAGTGACCCCATACCCATCCTGTGGGTGGTTGTGGCCCCCCCTTACCCATCCTGTGAGTGGTTGTCGACCCAATACCCATCATGTGGGCGGTAGTGGACCTCATATCCATCCTGTAGGTGGTAATGGTCCCCATACTCATTTTGTGGGCGATAGTGGTGCGTATACCCGTCCTGTGGATGGACATGTTCCCTATACCCATCCTGTGGATGATAGTGGTCCAAACCCATCTTGTGGGGGGTAGTGGACAACATACTTATCATGTGAGCGGCGGTGGGCGCCATACCCATCCTGTAGGCGGTAATGGACCCAATACCCACCCTGAGGGTTTTAGTGAACCCCATACGCGTCCTATGGGTGGTAGTTAACCCCATACCCATCCTGTGGGTGGTAGTAGATGATATAGTCATCCTGTCGGTGGTAGTTAAGCATATATACCCATTTCGTGGACGATACTGGACCCTATTCTCATGCTGTGGGCGGCAATGGAGGCTATACCCATCTTGTGTTTGGTAGTAGACACAATTTTCATCCTATGGGTGATTGTGGACCCCATACCTATCCTGTGGGCGGTTAAGTAGACGCCACATACATCCTTTTGGGCGGAAGTGGAACATATACCCATCCATTGGGCAGTAGTGGACCCCATATTCATCTTGTAGATGATAGTGGTCCCCAAACCCATCCTGTGGGTAGTAGTGGACCCCCATACCCCTCCTGCAGACGATAGTGGACGCCATACTCATCCTGTGGGTGGTAGAGGACCATATACCCATCCTATGGACAGTTGTTGGACCCAGACCTATCTTTCAAGTGGTATGGACCCCTAACCCACCAAACAGGTGGTAGTAGACCCTATGCCCATCCTACAGTAGGTAGTATACACAATACCATCCTGTTTGCAGTAGACATAGACATGCCAACGTAACATCGTTTTCTGTTTACGTTCCTACAATACATTCTTTAAAGATTTTTAAAGCACAAACTAGTGTATATAATGTTGATTGGTTAAGCATTTCTATTTAATGTAATAAATTATAGTGCTTATTATAATTTACTAAGAACAACTAATATTTCTGAAAACAAAACTACGAGCCTTCAATAGGATGTAGTTGATCTGTAATATTCTAAGAGCATGGACAATAGTAGGTAAATTTCACAACCCATGTGGGCCCTGAAAACTATAATTTTCATTATAATTGAACCAATCATGACGATTCTGCTGTCTACGGCGATGAACGGGTACTGTGAGACCTAAATTGGTATGTGAGGAAGAATTTGGGCCTTGAAAAAATATAACTGGGAATATACCACATATGTACTAATTCATAAGCAAAATATTGACTATAAGCAATAAGTCATATATGTGCTGTCTTGTGCGAGAGCGGGTAGGAGCAATCCAAGCAGATGGACACGCAGTCGTAGAAAATTAATTTGGTTGGATGTTGACGAGCAAACACCTCAAAACAGCCGTCAACAATTGCACTAGCACCACAGAGCAGACCTGGTGATAGTTAAATATGTAACTACCACTTACTAAACTACTGCATAGTCACCACTTGTAAGTTTCAACTACATCGCTTATGTATCACGCTGTTATATGCCTCCTGTCAAGATAGCCTCTGTTTCCCCTTACGAATGTGATATCGTGTATTGTGTTGGGTTTGTTGATATGGCAATTTACATTGCAAGTTTATATACACTGAGGGATGCATTCCGCTTCTCGGTGAATATGCCTCGAGAGTTCACTTTCAGACTGGTGAGTAAACTCTGTCACTGCATTAATGACCCTCCAGAGGCTGGTTGGTCTTAAGACCAACACCAAACTGGGAAATAAAGTATGTGCTGGAAAAAAATTACTGGAGCAAGAATCGATACATGGTAAGACTGAGGAAAGTCTACTGACACGGGTGACGAGAAAATGAATGATGTTACTCTCGGGAAGAGAGAATAGTAGGAGGACTTTGCATGTAGTGAAAGGCAAAAAAGAATATAGATAGAGAGATCGTGAAAAAATGAACGAAGAAGCGCATTCATTCGAAGAAGCTACATTCGCAGGACTAATGTCGTTCCACCCCCCGCTTCATGCAGGGTCGGTGTTCGATCCCCCCGATGGTCCAAGGGATAGGGCACCATTCTGTCACTCTCTCCTCCATGTGAAAACTTCAAATCCTCATATTCCTACCAAGCGCTTCATAGCCGCACTGGCTTAGTGTTCTCGCTTCATAATTATCGTACCCTCACCTTTAAACAACTCACTTCTCCCTCCACTAGATGCACTCGTTCCTCATCGTGAACTTGGGTGTAGGCGACTTCCTGATGGGAGTCTACCTGGTGATCGTAGCGGCAGTAGACCTCCAGTACCGCGGGGTCTACGCTGCCTACGAGCTCTCCTGGAGGACCTCTTCACTCTGCCAGTTGGCTGGATTCATTAGCACCTTTTCCTCCGAGCTCTCCGTCTTCACTCTCACAGGTTGGTGAGCCTGAGTTCCGTCCTGAGATTCACTGTGTAGTAGCATAAAAAAAAATGTCTCATGCAATATACACGACATTATAAGTCGATGAGCCGGCGGGCTCAAATTGTGCATATTGCTTTCATAACTTAGGGCCTTACTCTCAAATTTCTTCCAGGAACGCTCATAATGTTTGTATTTAAAAAAAGGATGAAATGATTGGTTTTTTACCGCATGGGCCGGATACTGAGTGATTATTCAGGATATTTCTGTGCTGGAAGGGGTCTGAGGGCTCCCTCGATACTGTAATGTCAACAATGAATTTATATTCTTTCGGTAATGGTGTGTGTGTTGTGCTTCTTACCGGCCGATGATGTCCAAGCTGCTAATGCTGGTCCACTCTTTGTCAGTCATCACCGTGGACCGCCTGATCGTCATCAAGTTCCCCTTCGGCGTGAGGAGGAAGGAAGGCAGTGTGACCCGGATGGTGATGGCAGGGGTGTGGGTGCTGGTGGGGCTCCTGGCTGCCCTCCCACTCACCCGCCTCCAGTACTTCCATAACTTCTACGGTCGCTCGGGCGTGTGTCTGGCGCTGCACATCACCAACGAGAAGCCCAGCGGCTGGGAGTACGCTGTCTTCATTTTCTTAGGCGAGTCATTCTTGTCTTTAGTCCGGAGGAAACCGAGAAATGAATGATTTTTTTTAACCGGTGAACCTAAACATTACATTCCTGTTGTCGACTGGATTATTAACATCTCATATCGAAGGTTCGGCCTCCTTACAGAAAGCTCCTTTGTGAACTATCTAAGCCCTACCCATTACCCAAGCCGACCAATGGGCTATGAAAATCAGAAAGTTTAGTTGTCCATTAGGATATTGCATGGCCTCAAAGAATTAAAAGTTAAAGAAGATTAATTACATATCATTAGTGTAAATTTTGACTAGTCTAAAAACGTATTCACTTTTTATATCTCATAATAGAGTTCAGCAAGATATTGCATAAGTATTTTCAGTTTGCATTATCCTATTTTTGGCATTCTATATATCTTCCAAAATTAAGCATTAAAGTAACATTGCCTGTCCCCATGTAGTTCTAAACTTACTGTCCCCTCTTGCAGTTCTGAACTTACTGTCCCCCTCTTGTAGTTCTGAACTTACTGTCCCCTCTTGTAGTTCTGAACTTACTGTCCCCTCTTGTAGTTCTGAATCTAATGTTCCCTCTTGTAGCTTTGAATCTACTGTTCCCTCTTGTAGTTCTGAACTTACTGTCCCCCTCTTGCAGTTCTGAACTTGCTGTCCCTTCTTGCAGTTCTGAACTTGCTGTCCCCTCTTGCAGTTCTGAACTTGCTGTCCCCTCTTGCAGTTCTGAACTTGCTGTCCCCTCTTGCAGTTCTGAACTTGCTGTCCCCTCTTGCAGTTTTGAACTTGCTGTCCCCTCTTGCAGTTCTGAACTTGCTGTCGTTCGGAGTGATCGCCGTGAGTTACGTGCTGATGTACGTGGCTGCCCGGGACACGCACTCTGCGGCACGGGCGGATACAAATGTCCGTGGCGGGGACGGTGGAATGGCCAAGAGGATGTCCCTGATTGTGGCCACGGACGCCGCCTGCTGGCTTCCCATCATCTTCCTGGGCATCGCCTCTCTCTGTGGCGTCACCATCCCTCCCAGGGTAAGGATCTTCCTCCCTCCCAGGGTAATGAGCTTCCTCCCTCCCAAGGTAATGATCTTCCCCCCTCCCAGGAGGTAAGGATCTTCCTCCTTCCCAGGTACCAGGTATGCCAAGGTGCTTAGTGCTCCTGGATGTCTGGGTTCGAATCCTGGGGTGTGGAGTTTTCAGTTGGATATTGGCTTGGGAACCATTCAGGCTTGTTCGCATTTGTGTTGCTCACGTGGCCCCACAAAGTGAGGGGTCGATGAAATATCTATGCCCAAGTTGAGCACCGAGAGCTGTTGGATCTTGGATATATAGTTTCACGACCATCAAAATTTCTGTACAATCAGTGTGGGCGCCTGACAGATGGGTGGACAGCGCCTTGAATTCGTAGTCCTGAGGTTCTGGGTTCGATACTTCAAACTTGTGGTTTATAAGCAAGTCTGTGCATTAAGCATTGGCACTGAGTTCTCCCATATAACAGGGCTTGATGAAAAACGTGAGGGATCCCTCCCTATCTCATTGCCTGGGGAGGTTTGGAGTTCTGGTTGGTTAAATACCCCAGAATTCCTACATCTTTAGGGCTCTGAAGTATGGTGTAGTGGATACAGTGCGTAAAACTCACACCCCAGAAGTGACTCGAACCCATACTCCCAGGAGCAACGCAACTGGTATGTACAAGACGCCTTAATCCACTTGACCATCACGACCGGACAAAATGAGGTGATAGCCGAGGCTATTTGAACCACCCCACCGCCGGCACTCGGATAGTAATCTTGGGCATAGCATTTTACCAAATCACCTCATTCTTTGGGGCACACGTGAGGAACACAAATGCGAACAATATGCAACTGAAAACTCACACCCCAGAAGTGACTCGAACCCATACACCCAGGAGCAACGCAACTGGTATGTACAAGACGCCTTAATCCACTTGACCATCACGACCGGACAAAATGAGGTGATAGCCGAGGTTATTTGAACCACCCCACCGCCGGCACTCGGATAGTAATCTTGGGCATAGCATTTTACCAAATCACCTCATTCTTTGGGGCACACGTGAGGAACACAAATGCGAACAAATTTTGTTCGCATTTGTGTTCCTCACGTGTGCCCCAAAGAATGAGGTGATTTGGTAAAATGCTATGCCCCAGATTACTATCCGAGTGCCGGCGGTGAAGTGGTTCAAATAGCCTCGGCTATCACCTCATTTTGTCCGGTCGTGATGGTCAAGTGGATTAAGGTGTCTTGAACATACCAGTTGCGTTGCTCCTGGGAGTATGGGTTCGAGTCACTTCTGGGGTGTGAGTTTTCAGTTGCATATTGTCCTGGGGACCATTCAGGCTTGTTCGCATATATATATATATATATATATATATATATATATATATATATATATATATATATATATATATATATATATATATATATATATATATATATATATATATATATATATGTCGTACCTAGTAGCCAGAACGCACTTCTCAGCCTACTATGCAAGGCCCAATTTGCTTAATAAGCCAAGTTTTCATGAATTAATTGTTTTTCGACTACCTAACCTACCTAACCTAACCTAACCTAACTTTTTAAGCTACCTAAACCTAACCTAACCTATAAAGATAGGTTAGGTTAGGTTAGGTAGGGTTGGTTAGGTTTGGTCATATACCTACGTTAATTTTAACTCCAATAAAAAAAATTGACCTCATACATAATGAAATGGGTAGCTTTATCATTTCATAAGAAAAAAATTAGAGAAAATATATTAATTCAGGAAAACTTGGCTTATTAGGCAAATCGGGCCTTGCATAGTAGGCTGAGAAGTGCGTTCTGGCTACTAGGTACGACATATATATATATATATATATATATATATATATATATATATATATATATATATATATATATATATATATATATATATATATATATATATATATATACAATAACGAAAACACAGGAAATAGTTTTGAGATGGAAATTGCTTGAGATATTTTGTGTTTGTTTAAAAAACCAATCTTTGGAAACATGGTTTTAATGGTTTTCTGTTAGCGCCTCTGCGTCATGTTTTGTTTATTGCAGTGAATATGACGCATGCGCGTGCACACACATACACACACACACACAGTTGTGTGTGTGTGTGTGTGCACAGCCACAACCACATAGCCTCGTGTGGCTGTGTGGATAGCACGCTGGACATGTGATCCTGTGGCCCGGGTTCGATTTTCGGCGCCGGAGAGAAACGATGGGCAGAGTTTCTTTCACCCTGATGCCCCTGTTATCTAGCAGTAAATAGGTACCTGAGAGTTAGTCATCTGTCACGGGCTGCTTCCTGGGGTGTGTGTGGGATGGGGGGGAGGGGGAGGGAGAGAGAAAAAAAATAGTAGTAACAGTTTATTGACAGTTGAGAGGCGGGCCGAAAGAGCAGAGCTCAACCCCCGCAAGCACAACTAGGTGAATACACACACACATACACACTTCTATCAAAATACATTTATAATACATCATATCTTCAACTTATTTCTTAAATAACAAATACTAATTCTACTTCGCTCAGACATATTGATGAAATCGGCAATAATATTACTTATATAAATATTACCAAATGAGCCACCTGGACGATGGGTCTCTTACAAAACCAAATAACAGGTATGGAAAGTATTTAAATATAATAGAAGCGCTTAAAAAGGCATTAGCTACAAATCCTCTCTAAGAGGAATCGGATCCAGGAATGAGACTTCAAAAGATTGCCTTTAACTTTTATACTAATGAGAGAGGACCCCCACCCTCCCCCCACACACACTGAATATGTCATCCAGGAAGGTTATATACTGCTCCTGACATGTACTGGCGATGAGTCACAATAACGTGGCTAAAGTATGTTGATCAGACTACACACTAGAAGGTAAAGGAACGACGACGTTTCGGTCCGTCCGTGACCATTCTCAAATCGATTTGCCTAATAAGCCAAGTTTTCAGGAATTAATTGTTTTTCGACTACCTAACCAACCTAACCTAACCTAACCCAACTTTTTCGGCTACCTAACCTAACCTAACCTATAAAGATAGGTTAGGTTAGGTTAGGTTAGGTTGGTTAGGTTCGGTCATATACCTACGTTAATTTTAACTCCAATAAAAAAAAATTTACCTCATACATAAAGAAATGGGTAGGTTTATCCTTTCATAAGAAAAAAATTAGAGAAAATATATTAATTCAGGAAAACTTGGCTTATTAGGCAAATCGGGCCTTGCATAGTAGGCCGAGTACGACGTTCTGGCTACTAGGTACAATATATATATATATATATATATATATATATATATATATATATATATATATATATATATATATATATATATATATATATATATATTGTACACACATACTCAATATATATATTGTGAATATAATATATATATAATATATATATATTATATATATATAATATATATATATATATATATATATATATATATATATATATATATATATATATATATATATATATATATATATATCATTGATAGAATTGGAGCAGTGGTTAGCTCATTCGATTTACAACTGCTTGAACCCGAGTCCGATCCATGTGCAGAACAGTAGGGGGGTGTAAGCGCCACAGAGGATTTTTTTTTTTGGGCAGAGGACCCCTGTGGGATGTAAGCGCCACAGAGGATTTTTTTTTTTGGGCAGAGGACCCCTGTGGGATGTAAGCGCCACAGAGGATTTTTTTTTTTGGGCAGAGGACCCCTGTGGGATGTAAGCGCCACAGAGGATTTTTTTTTCTGGGGGAAAAAAATCCCGTGTAGCGCTTGGGGGTTTTCAGGTGAATTTGCAAAATCCCGTGTAGCGCTTTGGGGTTTTCAGGTAAATTTTGGGAGTCACAGATTTGGAAGTAAGGAATTCTTATGAGAAAAATAATTTTCGAGATCTTAGAAGTTTGTTAAGCATTCTTATGATGAAAATAAGTAGGAAAATCTTAAAGAAAAGTTTTAGAAAAATCGTGTTTGTGTCACAGCATTTCCAGGTAAACTCTATGGACAACCTTTGCCCGTTTTCAATCACACATTTGTAAAAGGACCATTTTCAGAGAATATTGTCTTAGATGTTTTGTTAAGGAAAACAGACAACTTAGCCATAACATTTAGTTTTATATCCATTTACGGCTATTTCACCTGTAAAGACCAAAATTGAACAGAGTCCAATTATCAACAGAAATTCGCCAGAGTCTATTTTGAGAGCAAAATTAGTCAGAGACAGTTTTAAGCTCATATTTCAGCAGAGTCCAATTATCAACAGAAATTCGCCAGAGTCTATTTTGAGAGCAAAATTCGTCAGAGACAGTTTTAAGCTCATATTTCATCAGAGTCCAATTATCAACAGAAATTCACCAGAGTCTATTTTGAGAGCAAAATTCGTCAGAGACAGTTTTAGCTCATATTTCATCAGAGACCATTTTATACCTAAAAATGAACAGAGTCCACTTTGTGAGCAAATTAGTCAGAGACAGTATTTAGCTCAAATTTCATCAGAGTCCAATTATCAACAGAAATTCGCCAGAGCCTACTTTGAGAGCAAAATTAGTCAGTGTCCTGTAATCTGTGAAAATTTGACAGAGTCCATTTTATACCCAATTTTCGTCAGAGTCGACTTTGCTAGCAAAATTAGTCAGAGACAGTTTTAAGCTCATATTTCATCAGAGTCCAATTATCAACAGTAATTCACCAGAGTCTACTTTGAGAGCAAAATTAGTCAGAGACAGTTTTAAGCTCATATTTCGGCAGAGTCCAGTTTATGCTCAAATTCGCCAGAGTCTACTTTAATAGCAAAATTCATCAGAGTCCAGTTTCCTAGCAAATTCCTCAGAGTCTACTTTGTGAGCAAAATTAGTCAGAGACAGTTTTAAGCTCATATTTCGGCAGAGTCCAGTTTATGCTCAAATTCGCCAGAGTCTACTTTAATAGCAAAATTCATCAGAGTCCAGTTTCCTAGCAAATTCGTCAGAGTCTACTTTATGAGC